GGGCACGGCCAAGGATCGCGGGGAGGCGGCCCCAAAAGGTACGGGTCGTCCCTGTCCATTGCACGCGTAGATGAGCGGGAGAAAGATCCAAGAGAACATCGAGCACCCATCCCAACCTGGGACAGCGCTGCCGCCCAGTGGGTGATATCAATGTTCGCGCCTGGAAACAGGCGCAGCAAGGCAGACAAGTCAGCGACGAATGGCGCGACTTTGGCAAGAGCAGCAGGGGTGCTTGAAGGAGAACAGGCACCAGCAGGGACACCAACCTCAGGAGCAGCAGGCCCCCTGGAGAGCGCGCTCGACTGAGGCAGGCGTCGGCCAAAATGGCCGAAGGGATCCGAGAAGCGGTTCGGAGCAGAGCGAAGGGCGTGGTGGCGGAACGTACTCCTCCCTGCGGGGCCGCAGCAGCATCGCTGGAAGAGCGCATTCCTACCCTCACGCCCTCGCTGAGCCCAAACGCGCCTAGCAGCCGCAACAGCGTCGGTGCAGACTGTGCGCGGCGGCGTACCCCGGCCCCGCGAAGGCCCACCCTTCCAAGAGGCGGGCGCCAAAGGCGCCCTCAGTCCTTCTTGGGCACCGCCTTCGGTGCCTTGGACGCACCCTGGGACTTGGAGGGGGGCTTCGAAACCTTGGGCTGCTTGGGCTGATGAGGTGGATGCTTGGGGAGCGCGACGGCGCGCTCGGCGTCGAGACGCGCCCGAAATGCTTGCAGCTCCTTCACGTATTCGCCCTGCGCCGACAGCCAGCGAGGATCCACCAGGGGTGAGAACGGGGTCTGGGCCTCGCGCTCCGTGTGACGACTGGTCACGCGACACGGGGGAGGCTCCAGCCCCGTAAGGAACCAGGCGGCCTCGAGATAGCCGCGGTCCCCCGCCAGCTGGTCGATGAACATGCACTGACACGTCAGTAAAGTCTGGACTCTCTCGGGGTTGCCCTCTTCGCAGGCCCGCCACAGCTCGGCGCTGAGGAAGGCGAAATGCGTCAACAACTCGTGCGTCGTCGGCTGAGCCCCCAAGGGACTGTGCTCCCGAAAATACTGATGCATGGCCATGGGGGTCACGGCGCTGACTTCCACGCCCAGGACACGGGCCAAATTCTCCTTCATCAGTCCTCGCACATCGGGGCCGTGCTGTAGCAGCGCTTGCTGCCACTCGCGCCTCCGAGCAATGCCCCCCATCTGGGCCGATGCGGGCGCGGGGTCGCCCGAGCTCGTGGGCGGAATTTGAGCTGAGTCGCTCAGGGTCCCCAGAAGCGGATGGACGGTTGGGCGATGGCCCCGCCCCTGCTGCAATAGGAGGGACTGGTGCAGGCACTGTAGCATGAGGCTGAAGTCCGTCGGATTGGCCGCATGGGGCGGCTCTGACCCGTCGGCGCCGCCCGCCTCGGCAAAGCCGTCGGCCGCAGCGGGATGGGCTAGCCCAGGTGGCGGCGGGGGACCCATCGCTCCGAAACCGGACGAAGGGGCCCGAGGGACAGCAAGAGAGCGCGCCTTTTCCCACGCCGAGACCAGCGCGGAGGTCGGACCCTTGGGACGCGCGGAGACCCGCTGTGGGGCCACGGGCGCGTGAGACAGGACGGCCTCGATCCCCGCAGGATCCAGCCCGAGGCGCACCGCTTCGTCGCTGAAAAGCTGAGGCACCTCGGGCCGATCGCTCCGGGCAGCCGGCGCGGGGCCCAGCGGCTCGGGTCTGCCGACCATCGTGGAGGCCGCGTGGGCTGCAAGCAAGGCGCGCATTTCGGCAGCTACTTCGGCACGGGTCATAGGAGCCCCGTCGTCCAGAGACGCCGCAGGGGCACCAGGAGCGATCGGAGCGGGACCCGCGACCCGTGGCGGCGCGGCGGTGCCCGCGCGCTTCGCGGGCGGGCCGCGCGGCGCTCCAGCGTCCGCGGGAGATCGCGCACTTGGGGCCGTGCGGTCGGCTTCCCCGTCGGCCGCGAACCCCTCGGGCTCCTCCATCTCGTCGGCAGAGTGATAGGGAGTAGCCCGATCGGCCCCTGGGAGCGGCTCTTCTCCTGCAGTAGGCGGGGCGCCGTGCAAGCGTGCGTAGCCCTCGCGAAGCACCCGAACCCCCGAAGGATGTGGCCAATAGACGCGGCCCCGCACCTCGGCGAAGGGAACGATGACTGCGTCCTCCCCGACCTCTAGAGGGTAAAGCGACTCGAGCTCGAGCTCTGCAACCTCGATATCTACGACGAGGACGGATGCAGTAGTGGCGAGCGGCCGTGAAGCGGCCCCCTGGAGCTGGACGTCCACTAGCTGGAAAGGGCCTATCATTCCTGCAAAGCCATCCGCCTCGGCAGCCACGAGCTCCGCCGTAGAGCGAAAGGCGCCAGGCAGGGCCAGCAGGATGCCCCCTTCTCGAGACGCGAGGGGGATAGCTGCCCAGCTGGTGTCGCCGTCGTCTAGGCGCCATCGTGCGTAATCGCGAGCCGTGGGAGCCGCGAATGGGTAGAGCTCGGGCCATAGAGGCCCTCCGCCAACTGGTGGCAGCTCAGCCATCAATGGGCGCTGTCGTGGGAACTGCCGCCCGAATGCTGGGCGTCTGCCCGCTCGAGCGCTCGAGGCCGAGGCGGAACCCCGTAAGCCAGCGCTCGCGCCGCACGGCGGTCCTGCTCAGGGGAAGCAGGAACCGCACCGCGCGGCCAGGCGGAGGCCCTGAGCCTCCGCCACACGTACGGGCCCAGCAGCCCGAAGCAGCAGCCTGCGCAGGCGCTGCACGCGGCCGTCACCCAAAGGAGGGCGACGACCGTGCTGAGCAGCCAGGGAGAGACCCCGCCGCTCAGATCCACCGCCAGCCCGAGGCAGACGGTGGGGCAGGCGGAACCCGCCGAAGGGAGGGGGCAGTAAGCCCCCTCACCCTCGGACGAGTCCGCCTGCTGGATGGACCAGGCAGGCGCAGGAGGCCCTTGGTCCTGAAGCACAGAGAGGGGGGCAGACACGAGCCGCTCGTAGAGCGCGGCCCGCAGCCCCCTGAAGAAGATCTCCCCAGCGCCCCCGAGAGCCGCTTGTGCGACCGCCTGCATAAGGCGTCCGCACGCGCGGCCGACGGGGGGGCACTTGGGCAGAGAAGCTGCGGAGACAGCAGGAGCTTGCTCACAGAGAATAGAAGAAGCATATATATATATACACACATCTGTATATGTGTATACATACATATATATATATATATATATATATATATATATATATATATATATATATACATATATGCATATAAGAGTCTCTCTCTCTATATATATATATGTATACACAAATGTATGGAACATCAATGTTTTTGGCCTCCTCAGGTCCTCTCGGAGGCCCTCTGGAGGGCCTCCCAAGACGTCTCGAAGCTTTCTTGGACCGTCTGGAGCCCATCTGACGCTCTCTTGGGGCCGTCCTGGGGCCCTCTGGGCCTGTTTGGGGCCCTCTTGGGGCCCCCTGGCCGCTTCACTCGAAAAAATAAAAAGAAACGGGCCGTGGAAGGCGCCTGCGAGCCGCTTCACTCGAACAAATACAAATGAAACGGCCCCCCGGCGGCCATTAACGCCCGAACACGCGGCCCTCGCCCCCCCTGGACCCCTCCCTAAAAGGCGTCGCCCCACCAGCATGTCATCACTCGTACCTCGCTCTTTCCGTTACCAGACAGGGTCGGATGAGTCCTGCTACATGTGCAGCGGTCTGTTTCTTTTTGGTGGTGATTTTTGTGGACCTTGTGGAGCCAACGGGGAGCAAGGGAAGCGTCAGAAAGCAGAACGGAGGAGGAGGAGGAGGAAGGAGGAGGGAGGAAGGAGGAGGAGGAGGCGGACAATCGCACCGTGCCTGCCCTGTGCGTCCTCCCACGCTCCTCCCCTCCTCCTCTTCCTCCTCCTCCTCCTCCTTCTCCTCCTCCTCCTCCTCCTCCTCATCCTCCTCTCCTACTGCTGCGCACGGCCCGAGAGCGGCCATCCCACGCGCCGCACGGGCGCCCGACAAGCAACGGCGACGGTCCCCTCGGACGCCACCGAGGGTACATTCTCAGAGAGCGGGGGGAGTGAGTGAGGGATACCATTCACTCAATCTGAGGAGGAAGTCAGCGAGGGGTGGGAGAGACCTCGGCGCACTGCATTTATGCACAAGTGGTGGCCCGCGGCGCGCGTCACCGCATCGACCGGGCCCAGAACCCTCGAATCGCATTGGAACGCACACACACGCAGATCGCGGGTCGGCCACTGTGCGCACCAGTTACACACGTTTGTCTACTGGACCTACTCAGGGTGTGACTTTCTTGTGGAAAGCATGATTATGGAGGGGGGGCGAGGTTGAGAAAGTCGCGAGGAGAAAGGGTCATGATCGCGCCCTCTCCGCTACTCAGGGTCGTGCGCCCTCCCCGCCGGCACAAAATGCAGGCGTTGCTGTTGCGTGATGTGTTGAACTCTGCGCGGTGCTCGCTGCCTCTGTTTGTTGTCCTTCTCTCTCCTCACTCACCGCTTGGACTTGGCGACGGGTCATTCCCACAGCCGCTTCTTTTGTCCGCGTTGTAGTTAGAGGAACAAAACGCGGCATCAACATTGTCTTTCAAAGGTCCCCGCGGATTTCTTGGGTCGGCGCTGGACACCGTCCCTGGCGCACGGAGCGCGCCAGGGGCCGCGCCGGAGGCGCCGACAGGGGGACCCAGCGCCGATCGCAGAGTGACGGCTCCAAACAATGGCGCCCAACAGCAAAAAGAGGGGCGCGATGGGACTGGCCGCAACGGCCTGCCTCTCGAACCCACGGTTGTGGCAGATTACCAACCCCGATGGACAGGGTTGAATTTGAGCCAACCTGGCTACGGGGGAAGAGGTAGAGGAGGAGGAGGAGGAGGAGGAGGAGGAGGAGGAGGAGAAGGTAGAGGACGAGAAGGATGAGGAGGAGGAGAACGAGAAGGCGAGACGACTAGGACGAGGACGAGGACGAGGAGGAGGAGGAGGAGGAGGAGGAGGAGGAGGAAGAGGAGAAGGAGGAGGGGGAGGAGGTAGGAGGAGGAGGGAGGGCGCGTCTCCTGAGGCTCTGGTCGCCGTCCCCGAAATGCCGCGGGTACGGCGCCGCTGGCACCATCTCCACCAGCGGGTGCACCTCCTGCGCGCCTGCCGCCGGCGGGGGTCGAGGCGGCCAGCTCGGAGCACGGCGGGGGGAGGGCGGGGGGGGGAGGGGGCGGATAGGGGGAGCAGCAGGATGGGGAGCGAGAGCAGGGGCGGCGCGCGGGAGAGGGAGGAGCGAGATGGGGAGCGAGGAGAACAGGGGCGAGGGGAGGAGAGCAGGGGCAGAGGCAGCGGGGGGGGAGGAGAGGCGGCCGGAGCGGGAGAAGGTCGCAGATTCCCAGATATCTGGCGAGACACACATCCATCCATCCATCCATCAATTCATCCATCCATCCATCCATCCATCCATCCATGCATGCATGCATGCATGCATGCATGCATGCATACCTACACACCTATCTACCTACATGAACATACATACACCCACATATATTCATGACTGCATGCATGCATACATACATACATACCTACAAACAAACAAACATACATACAAACAAACCTACATACATGAATCCATACATACATACACACAAACAAACAAACAAGCACACATACTTGCATACAATCATTCACACGTGCATACACACATACCAGCCTACCGACCTACCTACCTACCTACCTACCGACCTACCTACCTACCTACCTACCTACCTACCTGCCTACCTACACACATACACACATACACACATACACACATACACACATACACACATACACACATACACGCATACATGCATACATACATACATACATACATACATACATACATTCATACATACATACATACATACATACTTACTTACATACATACATGCATGCATGCATGCATGCATACAGGCAGACAGACAGACAGACATGCATACATACATACATACCTGCATGCATACATACATACATACATACATGCACCCGCACATACATTCATGTATACACACATACATACATACATACATGCATGCCTGCATGCATGCACACATACATACATACATACACACATACATGCATACATACATACATACATGCATACATGCATGCATGCATACATGCGTATGTGCATGAACATGTACCTGTATGGTTGTGTATCCACATACGCGCACGCACACTATATATATAGAGAGGTATTATATCGCAGCGCGTGCTCCTCGATTGCTCTCATCTGCATGTGGTTGGGCCCTTTGCCGGGGCATTCGCTCTCGCCCGCGGCGTTCTTTTTCATCGATGTGGGCTCTCGCCTCTGGGGCCTGGCGTCGGGGCCCGGGAGCACGAGACAGGTGGAACTGGGACGCGAGAGCGTCCCCGGGGATCGGGACCTCTGCCGCGGGTGGGAGAACAAGGACAGACTGGCGGCTGTCGAAGCTGGTCGTGTGGACAGGGCGCGGGAGCGCCCCTTGGCAAGGGGCCGCTCTGCGCACCGCCTCGGGGCGCGGCGGCCGCTGCGGCGGGAGAGGCTCCCTCCCCGGGAGGAGGCCCCAAGGACGGAGGGCGGGAGGCGCGGGAGGGAGGGGTGGAAGAGCAGCAGGTGCGGAAAGAAGAGGTAGGCAGGAGGAGGGCCGCAGGGGAAGGAGCGACGATAGGGGGTGGGGGGGAGGGGGTGGGGGAAGTTTGTGGGTGGCGCTCGCTCGACGCATGCGATGTCAGAAAAGATCGCCTCCGTCGGACTCTGGATCGGACCCGTCTCGACGGGCTAACAAAAAAATCTTCTACCAAAGATTCTGCCAGAAGGGCAGGCCGCAGCCGACCTAACACATTCCCTGCCCGCAACAACAAATCCCTCTTGCCAGAAGAGTAGGTAATAAGCGATGAGCGCCGTCCATGCCGCAGAATCGCATTCACCCCAGCGGGCCACGTCGAAGCAGGGGCGGCAATTGATCTGGGCGCGTGCCTCAGCAGCTCTGCGCGCTGTCGTCGCGGATCGAAGTCCAATCGGTTCCACGATCCAAGGCCTGGTTCGCCAGGTCGTCGGCCAGTCCATTGAAGTCACGTGAATCGCACTAAACATATGCGCTTAGCTGCGTCCTCGACCGCATGGAACGTTTGTGCACACGCAAGAACAATATGGATGTTATTACAAACGACGCTCCCATCCGAACGGCCCGTACATTTTTGCAGCGGGCGAAGGGCGATGACGAATAACAGTCGATGGCGACCTAACCAAGTCGCGCGTCCTCCAAATACAATCACCCCGTAAATATGAATATCAAAGAAAATTTAAGCAAGTTGGTAATTGAGATTCAGAGGATTCTCTGGGTCAATGGGCAGCTTCACCGCGAATAAAGGCGGACGTGGCGGACCAATGCCTTCGGCAACGGGGAGACCTCATAGTCAGGGGTGCGTCCCGACAAAAACAATGGAATGTGCTCATCCACACCTGCTGGAAAGTGCAATCGTCTCTGACCATCCGCCAATTGTATCCACCGAGCTCGCCCCGGACAGTGTCGAAGGGGCACTCCCATGCCTCAGCTGCGTGGCCAGACGGCGTGGGCTGCCAGCGCCTGGACGCCATGCCACAACTGCTGCAGCGACCAGTACCCCCCGCAGTCCACATGGGGCACTTGTTGGACTCCACACCCCTGCCATAGCCCATGCCTCTAGGATTAGGTCGGGTATGTCCCCCTACAAAGGGAGTTGGGAAGACAACTCAAACATATACCAAACAAATACAAACAAAATGAACAAATGCACAAATCGTCCCTGACTACTCTTTTCAATGTTTGAAGATTCCTCCTGTAGAGGGACAGGCCCGATTTAACTCTAGAAAACCTAACCATGCTCATCTCGCACTGTATTCTGGGAAGGATGGTGCCAGGGTCGGCGCATGGAGCCGGGCCAGCAGCAGCTCGAGTGTGGGGGAGAGGGTGTCCGTTGCAATATAGCAGCGCTTGGGGGACGCGGAGGACTAAGGACCAATAAGGGCAAGGGGGAGGAGATAGAGGATAGCCGGTCGCGACGACTTGCTTAGCGTGTCGCGGCCGCCGCCCGGGCGACAGGCTACGTCTCGCAGGCGGGTAGCGTGTCTCTCCGCTCCGATGGGCTGGAGGCTGGGACGAGCTCGGGACGTTGACGCCTGGGGGCCGGGACGTGGTTCGCGTGTCGCGCCGTGGCGTGGTGGGCCAGAACCGGCGGCGCGGCATGCAAAGCGAACGTTCCGACAGCATCGGAGCAGGAAGAGGAGACAGCGAGAGTGACAAGTCAATGGAGAGATCCAGGCGGGCGAGGAGGGGGGGAGCGAGGACCAGGGGGGGCGGGTGAGGAAGGAGGAGAGGCAGGGGAACAGGAGGGCAGGGCTGGACCTAAACGATGTGTTTCGTGTTGTCGTCGTTCAGTCGTTCGTGTTGCTCCTCCCTTCCAATACGAAAAAACACAAAACAAAGCCGAAGTCCAGCAAAGCAGCCTTCAGGTCCAGCCCTGCAGGAGGAGGCGGCGGACGAGGAGGCAGCGGCACGAGGATGCGGAAAGCAGGCGCACGACGACGACGCGGCAGAGCGGGAGGGCGAGCAAGGAGAAGCCTGCTCGGGGTGCTCGTCGCCTCTCGGAGGAGCGAGCGAGCCGCGCAGGCTGTCCGAGGAGGAGGAGGAGGAGGACGACGAGGAGCAGGAGGAGGAGGAGGACGAGGAGGAGGAGGACGAGGAGGAGGAGGACGAGGAGGAGGAGGGAGGAGGGCTCATCTGGCCACGGCTTTCTCCGAGCCACTTTTATGAGTCGCTCGTGGCCCGTTTCGCTCGCCGTCGCGGGGCATGGCTGTTTTTTTTCGGCACTCGACAGAGTCCGTCTGCACACTGGACGAGTCGCCATATTTTTGCTTTCGAGCTGTATTTGCTGGCCGCCGCTCCCCCCTCCCCTCGCCCTCCCCATCGGAGTCATTTGCTCTGGTCGTCCGTGGCTCGTTTCGTTCACCGTCGCCCCCCTTTCATCGCCCTCTCTCGTGGGCCCACTCCAAGATTCCCAAGATGCCTCGAGCACGACCAAATGAGGCCCCAAGATGAACGCCGAGAGACACCACGACAGTCCGCATGAAATCCACGAGAAGCAAAACAACGTGCCAAATTTCCTCTAGTGTTCGCTCGGTGCTTGCGGTCTCCACGTGTCGGCTCCAGATGGGCCCAATAATCGCCGCAGAAGAGCCGTAGAAGGCCCACGAGGCCCAGACGTCCCAAAGATGGACCCTCGTGGCCCCCACGCAACCCCCCAGCAAGCCACAAGACGGCTCCAAGACGGCTCCAAGACGGCCCGAAGCTTGCCCCAACGCGCCGTCCCCCCAAACGGGCCTCAGGCCCTCCACGTCGGTCCTAGCCAGGTCCGCACGGACTCCAAGGTTGCCACACGAGGCCCCCAGAGGGTCTACAGATAACCCAACCTGACCCCAAGAGACCGAAGAGGCGATAAGGAAACCGTCGATGAGGAATCCAGGGTCTGGAGGCTGGTAGAACTCCAATCGAGGCTGCGTCATGGATATCACCGCCGCCCTCGTTAGATAAGGAATCCTCCAGGGTCTGCAGACCCCTGGGCGTACCCCTTAACCAACGCCCGCACCGTACCTCCTGTTCCTCGACACGCACGCCGCCCGCTTTTCCCGCACAAAGAGTGGGCAGCGCGAACACGGAGGAGGCCCGTGCGGGTGCACGCCAGGCGTGCTTGGAAAAACGCACTGGCCAGCTTGCGTTCAAACGAGCCGGCCCCTGCGGAGGAGGAGAGGGTGGAGGGCAGCACGGGACAGGCGCTCAGAGGGCGACTGTCCGATCGACAAAGCCACTTGCCGAGAGCGGCGAGTGGTAGAGGGGGAGGAGCAGGAGGGGGAGGAGCAGGAGGAGGAGGAGGAGGAGGAGGAGGAGGAGGAGGAGGAAGAGGGGGGTTATCTGGCCTTTATGATCTGGTCAACGTCGTGGGGCACGGGCACGAGATTGCCCCCATCCAACTTGACGAGGTATGTCCAGCCTGGGTGATACACGGCCTCAACAGTAGCAGGCAAGTACTCCGAACCGTTGTTCACGAGCACCTCGGCGCCCTTCTCAAACCGCGCCACCGGCCTGACGAACTTGTTGAGGTCATCCGGCGCAGTGCACTCACCGCCTGCTTCTAAGCGTATGCGGTAGGAACTGTGGGTGCGTTCGGAGAGCACTTCTATGACGGTCCCCTTCTTGTAGCCGCCCTGATAATTGGCCACCACAGCGTCCCCGACCTTGAACCTCGGGTCGCCCTTCTTTATGAACTGATCGCTGTCCGCGGGCGCGCACACATCGTTCCCGACGGCCGGTATTCGTATGACGTAGGGCACCCTCTTGCCCTTGCTGTCGGTGTCCCACACTGCAATGACCTGGCCGTCCAGCCAGCCCTTGTCCCCACAGGTCGCCTTGACGCACTGGCCGACCTTGAACCGCAGGGGGGGCCCGAGGACCCGCTGGACGAAAAATACCAGGGGCGACTTGCCAGAGGCCATCACCGCCAGTATCGCCCTGAAATTCCCGCCGACCGGCTTCCGCTCCGCGTCCGGCACGCTCGCGTCCACCACGGCCACGATGCGGTCGCCCTGCCGGAGGCGCAGGTCGGGATCCTTCTGGGTGGCGTTGTGCCTCTCCGCCTGACTCTTCTCGTGGAAGCCCGTCACGAGCAGCCACGACTGCTGGTCGGGCGCCTGCTGCTCGGGCGGCGGTTGCGGCTCGAACCTGATGCCCAGCGGCTCCCCCTTTGAATGGTGGAGGCACACCTAGGAGGCCTCCCAGATGGGGTCGGAGTAGATGGGGTCGGAGGATTGCAACGCATCGCCAATGCGATGCATCGGCGGTGCACCGGCGATGTATCGGCGACGTCGACGCTAAGCAAATCGGGCTGCACGTCGAGCCGCGTCGGCGATGCATCGGCGATGCGGCGCGATCCTCCGACCCTATCTACTCCGACCCCATCTGGGAGGTCTAGACACCTGGAACGTCAGCGAGGGCGCCTCCACCGCGTCCGGGTGGATCGGCGGGGACGCGGCTACGAGCCTAAGGTTCGCGGGCAGCAGGGCCTTGTCGCCAAGGGGCGGCGGGAACACCACCGCCACCCTCTGCTTCTGCACGCCCTTCACGCGCCCTCGGGCGCCGTTCATGGCCTGGGTCTGCAGGCCGTGCGCTTCCACCTCGGCCCCGATCGGGAAGCCGTGCGCCAGCCTCGCTGGCGGCTCGCTCGAGGGCGTGCTCTTCAGGAAGCCGGACTTCATGTCCTCGAACTTCGGCTGGTCGTTGTCTCCGCCCTGCTCCACCTCCGCCAGCCGCTGATGGTACATCCGCGCCGCGACCTGGATTATCCACCGACCCCCGCTGACCAGGACTGCAATGGCGTGCGAGAAATGTGACTGTCCCTCTCACCCTTTCCTCCCCCCCGTGGGCCCAAGATCCCGTTTAAGGGGGAAGGGGGTGGGACGATCTCCTCGACGGACCTGTGGGGCCCTCGAGGCCTTCAAAACCCACCCTCCGTGGCAGCCGAGACGCACACAGTGCCTTCCGAGATGGCTCCAGAACGGCTCTGGCACACTGGAAGGCCCAATACGCCCCCAAGACCCCCCCCCAAGAGAGCCCCAAGAAGACCCCCCAGGAGAGCCTCACGAGGCACGAATCACTGATTTTCCATCAGCTGTTGAATCAGCTTCACCATCCTGCTACTTCCGGCTTCTGAAACTCCAAGATGACGCGAGAGACCCACCAGTGTCCACGACGGCCCAAGAGGCCCTTTACGAGGGCCCATCGGCGGCCCAAGAGGGCCCTAAGAAGGCTCAAGGCCCCCCCCATGACCAGCAAAAAGCTTTCGAACCTCCCCAAAAGACGCCCCAGAGGGAAACCCGCAGGGTCCCCGGGAGCCCCCCCGGTGGCACCGAATTTCAGAAATGTGGCAAATCTCCTATGTTTTTGGACCCTGACCCCGCGGATCTGCGTGAGGGGTGGCACCGAATTTCAGAAATGTGGCAAATCCCCTGTGTTGTTGGACCCTGACCCCGCGGATCTGCGCGAGGGGTGGCACCGAATTTCAGACATGTGGCAAATCCCCTGTGTTTTTGGACCCTGACCCCGCGGATCTGCGTGAGGGGTGTAGTATTTTGTCCCATGATATTCGATCTTATTCCCGGGTCATCTCGACACGTGGTCACGGTTTTCTGTACATAACACCAAGAGGCCCCCAGAGGGCACCCCATAAAGCACCAAGTGGCTGCGATGAGCCAGGCGCAAACAAGTATAAAGGCAGGCTTCCGCAAGTCAGTGTACAAGGAAGGCTTTGCTTTGCATTGCTTTGCTTTGCTTGGCATTGCTTGGCATTGCTCTGCATTATTTGACATTACGTTGCATTGGTTTGCATTGCTTTGCATTGGATTGGTCTGTCTTGGTTCATCCGGCTCTTGTTGTTGGTTTCTTGGTCATGGTTCCTTGGTTCCTTGGCCTTGGTTCTTGGTGCCTGGCTATGGGCTCCTGGATTCCCTGGTTCCTTGGCCTTGGCTCCTTGGTCGCGGCTGCAAGGAACCCAGACCAAGGAACCGAGGAACCGAGACCGAGGAGCCAGGAAACCAAGACAAGACCAAAGAACCGAGACAAAGGAACGCGGGGACTTCGGGCAACGCCTCGCGAGGAAACAGAGCCAGGGAGCAGGACTTCCGCTGAGACCACTTGCAAAAGAACAAAATCCAGGAACCTTGGGGAACCCGGCGACAACCGCGCCTCGCACCCACCGGCTCTTCAAGTTCAGAAACAAACCAAAACCCCCTCCTCCTCCTCCTCCTCCTCCTCCTCCTTCGCCTCCTCCTCCTCCTCCTCCACCTTCTCCTCCTTCTCCTCCTCCCCCTCCCTCCTCCTCCTCCTCCTCCTCCTCCTCCTCCTCCTCCTCCTTCTCCAAGGCTGAGCCTCATGAAAAAAAAACATTCCGGAGGCCGCCCCGTGGGCCTCCAGGAGTCCAAGAGGCCCCACGGAAGCCCCGCGCAGCAGACGAGGAGGAAGAGGAGGACGCCTCGGCAGCAACTGCACGTGTACTCCAGATTTCGTAATAAAAGGGAGGGGGGCTCAACCCTCCCCGACGAGAAGTTTTAGACCCCCCCCCCGTGGGATAACCCTCCAAAACATCGTCCCCAGACCCCCCCAGGCCCTCCAAGATAGCCTGGAAGAGACCCCCCCCCGAAATGAGACCCCCCTCCCTTTATTACGAAATCCGGAGTACTTGCTCCCCGCCGTGCACGCAGGCAGCACGGCAGGAGGCGGCAAACAACACACAAGGAAACGGACGCCGTGCATATCCTCTTCTGGGGGTCAGCGGAATGGCGTAAGCCTCTCGGATGGCATTTCGCGGGCTGCCAGGGACTAGCAGCTGGGACTCCTCCATGATGGACTGCAGCTCCTTCTGGCAGAGCTCTTCTGCATGCTCGAAGGAGCTCACGTGGCTCGGGGTCAAGTAGCCCTTGCTCTGCATCGATCGCATTCCCTTCCGCTGCTCCTCGATCGGCTTGAGGACGTGCACCAGGCGGACAGCGCGGTGGATTAGCAAGTCCTTGAGCTGTTGTATCGTTGCAGCTGGCACTCGCTGCATCAGCTCAACTTCTTGAAGGAACTGGTCAGCGTCCGTCAGCTCTAACTGGTCAAGCGCCTTCTCTTTCGCCTCGTAGTACGCGTCGATCTCCTCGTCGCCGAGGCCCTCCCAGACGTATTCGTCTGGGATCCCGAGCAGGGCGAGGCCGTCGCTTCTTCGCTTGCAGCCCAGGCGTGTTAAGAGACTGTCGACGGCCATGGTGTAAACCAGCTGCGGCGGGTTGGCAACGGAAAAACACTGGCTGCGCCTCGAGCCAAAATGGCTGCAGAAGGGGGGAGGAAAAGGAAGATGGCAGAAACTCCGAAACAGCAGTGGCGGATACTGAAACTTGAGCCTCCGCTGCACTCTGAGCCTCCCGCGGGTATTTCTTGAAAGGTCTCAAGACCTGTCCAAAAGGAAATACAAACACATATGATAAACTCTGACGGGTTATACGAAGACTGCAAATGCGCGCGCATTGAGATGCGGACGTCACGAAGCAGTGCGCGCGTGTCGTGACGCCTCTGGAGGGTCAAGCCGCTCGACATCGGTCTGGGCCGTCTTGATGCCACCTCGCTCCTGATAGATGCCTCTTAAACTGGGATCCGGGTAGATGGGGTCGGAGGACTGCGCCGCATCGTCGCAGGTCGCGATGCCTCTTCAGCTTCAGACCGTTTGCATCAGCCTGGGCTGTCTTGAGGCCACCTCGCTCCTGCCTCCTCCCTTCTCGATCCTCCCCCAGACCCATCCCTCCGTCCTCGCTCCGTCCACCCACAACCTCCGTCCCTCTTAGCTGCTCTCTCAAATACTGGAGCAGGATGGGTTCAGCCAGTTCGTTTTCTCCTTTTGTCTGCATCCCACTGGTTAGTCGGGTGGACTCTGCTTTAGGGCCTGCTCGGCTACAGCTTTGAACCATCGCGAACTATGGAATTGCACTGTGCGCTGCTAGTTCAGGATGGAACTACCTGTGACAATTGTTGTCCAGGCGAGCGCCGCCGTTAGCAGCCACAGCCCACCACGCCCACCACCTACCGACCTATCCATCCAATGCACCGTATTGACAACACTGCCGGACAGACAATGGAAGCGCTTGAAAGGCGAGCGGGTTCCGAGTTATACCAGCTTGCGCACACTGCTTGGGAGCACTCCCCGCTTGCCCAAGCCATGCGCAACGAAGCTAATTCGATCTGAGGGCGTCCCCCCATCGTGCTCGGCTAGTTGGACTCACTGGCACGTCGGAGGAGCAGGAGTGTATGGGCTCAGGGTGGGCGCTGGGGGGCGAGAGGGTCAGGGCTAGGGGAGGACTTCATATCATCAACCTTTGGCTGGTCGTTGTCTCCGTCCGCCCCCATCTCCGCCAGAACCTGATGGTAGGTGCGCGCCGCGAGCTGGATTATGGCAAGTCGGGGGCTGCCAGGGTCTAGCAGCTGGGACTCCTCCATGATGGAAAGCAGCTCCTCATCACAGAGATCTTCTGCGCGCTCGAAAGAGCTCACGTAGCTCGGGGGCAAGTAGCCCTTGCTCTGCATCGATCGCAGTCCCTTCCGCCGTTGGTCGATTGGCACGAGGACGCGTACCAAGCGGACAGCGCGGCGGATTAGCAATTCCTGGAGCTGATGCATCTTTGCAGGTGGCACTCGCTGCATCAGCTCAGCATCTGAAAGGAACTGGTCAGCATCTGTCAGCTCTAGCTGGTCGAGCGCCTTCTCTTTCGCCTCGTAGTACGCATTGATCTCCTCGTCGCCAAGGCCACCCCAGACGTATTCGCCTGGGATCCCAAGCAGGGCGAGGCCGTCGCTTCTTCGCTTGCAGCCCAGGCGAATTAAGAGATTGTTGACGGCCATGGTGCAAACCAACTGCGGTGGGTTGGCAACGGAAAAACACTGGCTGCGCCTCGAGCCAAAATGGCTGCGGAAAGGGGGGAGACATAGGAAGAGGATGGCAAGAACTCCGACACGGCAGCGGCCGATACTGAAACGCGTACATCGGCTGCGCTCTGAGCCTCCCCTGGGCATCTCGGGAAAAGGTCCAGAGGCCCCGCGAATCCCCGAACAGTGCTTGCACTTAGGGCTCTTACGGGCATTGGGTGGGTCAGCCGAAGCTTCGGCTGGCGCCCGCCCGTGGACGCCTCGTGGGCGCTTCGCGCGCCGGGTAAGTCAGCCGAGGTCTCGCCCAGTGGGCGCCTCGAAGGCGCCTCGCGAGCGGGGCAGGTCAGCCGAGGTTTCGCCTGGTGCCCGCCCGGGGGCGCCTCGTGGGTGCCTCGTTGCCGTCTCGTTGGCGCCTCGTGCGCTGGGTGAGTCATTGGAGGTTTGTCGATATAGGTGAAGACAAACAGATATACACATGCTCCAGTACACATTTGTGCATACTGTATCACATAGGGTACACCGCCTAGCTTGCACCGCATAGCATTCAAGTGCACGACATAGCTTGCACCAACTGGCTTGCACCCAGTAGCTTGCAACAGTATTGCACAATACTTATTAGCCGGGCGAATCCAACGTATGGCCCATGGGGGCCCATCCTGAACGAAAAAAATTCGGGGGCGCGTCGAAGAAAGCAGGGGATCCGGCTTCACCAGAGAGATACAATTCTCAAGCGAGGGGTTCGAGCACGGGGGTACTCACCGCCTCAAACACTGGACGAGGAATAAACTCTCAGCCGCGGGGTTCTCGCACGCGGGGCTCCCCCCCCTGGCGCAATCAGAAGAGGACAACAGCGAGAGCCAAGATTGTAAATGGAATGCAGCAACACTCTAGTAGCAGTTGTACTGGAGGTGTACTCTAATACTCGTGGCACGAAACTAGCTTGTTCCACTGTGGTACGACTTGTGGTAGGCAATAGTAGTTGCACTCCAATGCCGTTTGCACTCTAGTACAGCATTCACCCTGGTACTCGTCGCACTCGGGGAAAAGTTGAAATCGAGTACGAGTTGAACTATAGCTTGAGTTCAAATCTGGTACTACTGTATATGTTCTCGAGTACCAGTCGCACACGAATGCTGCATGCACTCTCGTACATCGGAGCGGCCCAGTGCTCATTGCACTAGTACGGACCGTACTCTACTCCGGCTTGAACTCTACTACAAGTCAGAAGAAATGGTATCCATGCGCCGCCAGGGGTCCAAGGTTTACCGGTCGCCGCGAGGAGGGACTCCCCGCGGAAGGAAGAAGAGAAAGGGGTTGTCCAGGCATGAGATGCACCTCATAGCATACACCACAACGTAGCTTGCACGACATAGCTTACACATCCGCAGCGCAAAACATAACAGCTTGGGGTCCACGCTGGCAAACATCATTCCATAATGACATCCAGACGCACATGCTAAACATCGGTGGTTACACGAAGACTGCGAATGCGCGCGCACTGCGATGCCGACGTCACGAAGCAGTGCGCGCATGTCGTGACGCCTCTGGAGGTTCAAGAGGCTCGACATCAGTCTGGGCCGTCTTGAAGCAACCTCGCTCCCGATAGAGGCCTCCAAAAATGGAATCCGAGTAGAGCAGATGGGGTCGGAGGACCACACGGCACCGTCAATGCATAACCGATGCAGCGGTGATGCACTAGCGATGAATCGGCGATTCGGCGATGCATCGCCGACGCCAATGTGGAGAACATCGGGATCCACATCGAGCCGCATCGCCGATGCATCGGCAATGCGGCTTGATCCTCCGACCCCATCTGCTCGGACCTCATCTGGGAGAACTGGACCTGCCTCGGCCCTCCTCGATCCTGCCCTAGCACCTCTCCCTCCATCCTCGTGCCAACCTTTGTCTCACACCCGTCCCCCTGCTCTCTCCTCGATCCTCCCTCCCTGCTCCCCGCTCTTCGCTCCACGTCCCCCCCCCCCCCACACTCCCTCCTCGCTCCTCCCTCTTCCCTCTTCCTGCATCCTTCCTCTCTCAGCTGTCCTCTATCCCTCCTCTTCCCATTCTGCTCGCGCTTCTCGTTCCTCCCTCGTCCCTGTCTTCTTCCCTTGCTCGTTCTTCATTCCTCCACTCACCCTCCTCGTCCATCCCCTCTCACTCACCAAAGGAATCCAGAGGAGCCCTGGGGGATCCTGAGGAACGCGAAGGAGCCCTAAGGACTGCGAAAGAATCCAAAGGAATCCAAATGATTTCTCAGGGATCCGTAGGAATCCTAAGGAGTCCGGAGGGATCCAAAGGGATTCAAACAAATCCCCAAATGGATCCAGGAACCTGAAGGAATCCCAAGGGATCCGGGGGAAACCTCAGGAACCCAACGGATTTCAGAGGAATCCGAAGCAATCGTGACGAATCCAGAGGAGTGAGGAAAGCATCAGATTCAGAGGAGCCCGAAGAAATAAAGAGAAGTTCTGGCGAGTCCAAAGGGAACTCCTTTGAAATCAGACGGAGTCCGGGGGAATCCTGCAAAATCCACAGGACGCCTGAGGAATCGAAAGAAATCCTCAGACATCCAAAGGAATCCTGACGAGCCCTGGGAAATCCAGGAGGTGCCTGGGGAAACTGTGGGAATCCACACAATTCCTAAGGAACCATGTGGGAACGCACGAGGTTCGAAGGAGCCCCGAGGAATTCGAGTAATACTTATAGGGGACCAAATGAGTTCGAAGAGAACAGCAGGAAACTAAAGGAAGGGAACCTGAGGGATCCAGGGGAATCCTAAAACATGCGGGGGACTTCTAAGGCATCCAAATTCGTAAATTGACGTTCGCAGGGGCCCGTAGGGGACTGTGGGGAGCTTCTAAGCATCTCACTCAGAAGTAGAAGCTCGTAATTTTCTTCTCCGACGTGGTATGGCCCGTCCCAACGTCCCTTAGGGTGTGAACCGTCGGGTTGGAGTCTCACCCGACCCGTTGCGGTCAGACCTTTTCCTCCAAGAGGATCCCAAGAGGGTTCAAAAATGCCCAGGATAGGCCTACCAAGACCGACCCCAAACAGAGATGGACTCCAAGACAACTAATATGGTCCAAGGTGCCTGCAAGTCCGCCCAATAAGCCACCAAGACGGCCTAATATGGACCCAAGATGGCAACATATGGCCCCAGAGTACCTCCATGAGGCCCGAATCCATAAAGCTGAACCCACAATTGCCCAGGGAGGGCCCAAGACGAGCTCCGAGGGCCAAGAGGCCCCCAAGAGCTCCCCCAAAGGTTCCCAAGTGGCCCCAAGAGGAACCTCCAGGAGGCTAAATAAGTGTTTTCCCTCAGGTGTTTTAATGATGTTAGCGTCCTCGCCTTTTCGGACTTCCGACGCTCCAAGACGGGCCCACAAGCCCCCGAGAGCGCCCCAAGACGGCTCAAGAAGCCACTAAGAGGCCCGCAAGACAGCCCCAAGGGGCTCAAGACGGCCCCCAAACGGCCCCAAAGACCTTTAAGACCGCACTTGAGCACGCAAAGCGGGACCCACGACTGCCCAGGGAGGGCCCGAGACTGCCTCCGAGTGCCAAGAGGCCCCAAAGAGGCCCCTCAGAGGTCACCAAGAGGCCCCAAAGACGAGACATCCACGAGGCCCACATCACTGACTTCCCGTAGGTGTTTTAATGATGTTAGCGTTCTCGTCTTTTCGGGCTTCCGACGCTCCAAAACGGGCCCACAAGCCCCCGAGAGCGCCCCAAAACAGCCCAAGAGGGCCTAACACGGCCCAAGAGGCCCCCAACACGGCCCCAAGACAGCCCAGTAGACCTGGGCCGGCACGGAAACGGAAAGAGCGATTCAACAACTGGACCGAACTTACCCACACCACCGTTCGTACTGGGAGCCTTGGCGTTGAAAGCTTGTTACGTCACCCCTCGCTCTTGGGAGCCTTGGTGTTCAGAGATCGTTGCGTTGCCGCCCGTTCCTGAGCCTTGGCTGGGCCTTGGTGTCAGGAACTTGTTACGTCACCGCTCGCTGCTGGGAGCCTTGGTCTTATCAGCTTGTTTACGTCACCGTTCGCTCTTGGGAGCCTTGGTGTGAAGAACTTTTTGCGTTACCGATCGCTCTCTATTTGGCGTCTCTGGGCCTTCTTGGGAGTCCTATTGGGGCCCTTGTCGGGCCCTTTTGGAGGCCTCTTGGGAACCTCTTGGGGGCCTCTTGGGGCTTCTTGGGGGGCTCTGGGGGCCTCCTGGGAGCTTCTTGGGCGAAAAGCTAGACTTTTCGGTTCGTGGTCCCCCTCTTGGGGCCGTCTTGGGGCCCTCTTGGGCCGTCTTGGGCGCCTCTTGGGCCGTCTTGGCGCCCTCTTGAGCCGTTTTGGCGCCCTCTTAGGGGGCCTCTTGGGGGCCTCTTGGGCCGTCTTGGGCGGTCTTGGGCTCTCTTGGAGCGCTCTTGGGCCGTCTTGGGGAGAACCCGAACAACAAAACCCAAGGGAAAACCCGGAAACGGCCATTAACGCCCATCTCCACACGCTTCGCCCCTCCCCTGGAACCCCTCCCTTTAGGGCTTCGCCCACACCAGAACGTCATCACTCGTACCTCGCTCTTTCCGTTACCTCTCAGACGATCCTAAAGCGCCCAAAGAGGGACCCACGGCTGCCGAGGGAGGGCCCAAGACGGCCTAGGCCAGGAGGCCCCCGAGGGCACCCAAATAGTCCCCAAGAGATGGCCTAAGATGGCCTCAAGATCGAGCAAGACGGCCCATGAAGTCTCCAAGAGGACCTCCAGGCAAGCCACATATACTGGCCCCAAGAGGGCCCAAGAAGCGTCCGAGATGGACCCCTGACAGCCCAAGAGGCCCCCACGTCGGCCCCAAGAGGGCCCCAAAACTGCCCAGGAGAAATCCAAGACGCCCAATATCGCCTCCAAGACGGCCCCGAAGCGCCCCAAGAAGTCTCCAAGACGGCACAGAATGGACCCCACGACGGTTTCCGACGGCGTCAGACGGGCTAGGAACGCCCTAAGACAGCCAAAGAGCCTCCCGAAAAGCCTCCAGAAGCCCCCAAGAGGCCCAAGGAGGCCCCCAAGAGGCTTCCCAGGGGCTCCCAGGAAGCTCCAAGGAGGCCCCAAAAGTGCCCAACGAGGCTCCC